GTCAAAAGTGTAATCTCTCAAAAGTTATGATTAACTTAATTTGAAGGATGGGATAATTCTGTTTAACAAAACATGCCCAAATAATTTATTAGTCAAAGTTTATCCTTTTTACACAGAAATTCAAGTCCAGTCAGTTTGGGTAGTCATTCAGAACACTTATCATTGAAGAAAACATAGTAGCAAATAAACAACAAACACCTACAAGTAAAGATTAACCGTCTCTCCTCCCATTTATCATCATTAAAATATCTTAAAAAATCTTTTACTTTATAATTTGACTTCTTGCTTACAAACTTGTAATTTTCATTTGGTGGCATGGACTGTATGGGTTCTATTTTGGGTAGCAAAATTGCAGAGTGCTCAGAGCATTATTTTTAAGGTTTTTCTTTTTCCTGTTTTGATCATGTACTTTGGTCTTTCCATAAAATAGTGAAGAAGAATTATTTTCCTTTATAGAAAAATTCAGATTCTGTTGCTTTGGTTTCCAGAGGCAAAGGAGGATATGATAATTGTTTCTATAACTTGGTTTAGAGTTTGACGGCATATTGAGGTAAAGATTAAGTAGACCAGAGAAAATGGATGCTTTTACACTAATAGCAGGCCATCAAATCTAAGAGCTAACCCAGTGTCCATCATTGAATAGATATATGTCTCCTTCCCAAGCCTCTGTTTCTCACTACGTAATAGGCTTACATTTTTGAGATACATTTTGTTCATTTCTTCCCTGATTTCCTTGTTATTTATCTATTCTGTACTTTATTCTTAAAATGTGAACATTACTAAGAATTTCCTCATTCTGTTTACTGTCAAGAACGTTTCATAAAATAGGTGTTTTAATTAAGTCCAGTAAATGAAAATGAAGAGTTCTGATGCATATTTTAGACTTTCTGATATTTACCTGCATCATAAGAAATGTTGTACCTAATGACCAGGAAAGTAAGTATGGGACCATTGCAATGAGAATGTTTTCAGTTTTTCTCATTATCATGTAATTAATATGTGCCAGTGCGTGAGAATTTGCCTTAGGGGAAAGCTTGGATTTTTTAATTTTTGTTTTAAATGTGAACAGAAAGATTGTTTCATGATTCCATGTGCTGGTGTGTAAATAATGCTAGTAGCATTCTCTCAGGGAGATACATATATTTTTATGTGCCTGCATCTTACATTCATATAGTGCTCATGATGTCCTAGCCTCTTCAACACATTATTTCATTTATTCCAAATAATAATTATGTGAAGCAGTTAGGACAAGTAATATTCTCCCCTTTTTTCTGATGAGGAAACTTAGTTTCAGAGAGATTTAATAATTTGCCTAAGTCCACGTGGCTATTGAATAGTAATGCTGGGGGGCTGGGGCTCATTAGAGCCCGGGTCTTCTGATCCTCCAGTCCGGTGTGCTGAGAACTTTTTTCCCCACACTTTTTTAAATTAAAGAATTCAGTTAGGAGTGTTGTAAGGCTTAAAGGGTGCCATTCAAGAGTGATGAAAATACATGAAAATAGTTTTGTTTGTGAATGACCCTTTTGCAGTCTTATTCTTACATCAATCTGAGTGATCTGTACTTTGTTATAGTTTTTTAGAAACAAAAATAATTAGAAACAAACAGAGGCAATTTAAACATTACCAGCAGCATTCCCTCCTCCTATCACCATGCTTGCCCATAGACAGAAGTGGGGTTGGAGTTTGTTGCTTTTTTCAGTGGTTGCATTCCTTGTGCTATGAAATAGAACACTGCCAGGAAAGACGTATCTCCGGACATCTTGCTCCACACACATTAGGCAGTGAGCTGTACCCCTGGTCAAGACTATAAGCCTTGTGGTAAAGGAAAATCTAGCTCAAGGAATCACTTGGGTGGGTTCTTCATGGGTTTTAACCAACCCACTGCTGGAGGTCAGGACTGTGTTTTGGTTTTTTTCCTGGAGACTGCCAGGTCTTTCCCTGGTTTTGGTGTCTCTCTGCTTCACTTTCTGTACAGAACATGGCATTTGGCCTCTTCTGTGGGGATGGAATGAGTATCAGTAGGATAGCATCCATGAAGTTTTCAGAGGTCTACATTAATGATATAATCACTCAAAAACATACACTAAATAACTAATCATGTGAAGTATAGTTTCATTTCCCCTTAATTATAAACTTTTACTGCGTTTATCCTCTTGTTACCTTTAACTTTTGTGTACAATTGGGACGCCTGGATGGCTCAGTGGTTGAGCCTCTGCCTTCGGCTCAGGGCGTGATCCTGATGAGTCCCGCATGGGGCTCCTGGTAGGGAGCCTGCTTCTCCCTTTGCCTGTGTCTCTGCTTCTTTCTTTCTGTGTCTCTCGTGAATAAATAAAGCTTAAAAAAAAAAAAAAAAACCTTTTGTGTACTATCATTACTATCATGTATATGGTGGTAGTGGGAGGAAAGAAGGCATTATCAAGAAAATAATAGGTAAGAAGATTATTTCCAACTCCCCACACATTTCATTTCCTTAAGTTAGTACAGTCTGCAGTAAGGGTATTGCACGTTCTGTGGAATTCTGATTCTGAAGATGGAGAAGGAAGGTAACTAATATTTACGAGGTAGATCCTGTGCTAGGTCCTGTACTGGGCCTTCTGGGTATCTTATTGTATCCTTACAACAGCCAGGAGACAGCTGTACATCATCCCTTTTATAGATAGGGCTGTAAGGTTTCAGACTCAGAAGCAACAACTCCTTCCACCTGCCCAAACCTGTTTCAAAGAGACAGTGGTCCTGTCACCTTTGCTGTCCTGCTCTCCTCATCTGAATATAGCAACAGCAGCCTACCAGTAAAGCAGGAGTTGTGATAATGGTTACATAGGTTATAGAGTAACTTTATTTTTCCCAACTCAGAATAAGAAATAAAATATACATGTAGAGGACGGGTATGCTGAGGAAGATACGGGGCTGAAGTTTAGTTATTTCTAATTTAGTATAATTGAAAAGCAACTAAAAGTGCTAGTCATAATTTGAGGACACTTTCTGAAGCCGTCCTTCCTATTGTAGAGGCATTAGTAATTTAAAAGAGAGATGGTTTTAAAAATTGTTGTGGCCAGAAATGAAGTGTAAAAAATATAATGTATATGCAGCGTGGTGAGAGGGTCTGTATTCATGCTTTTGGGCCAGATACATATATATTTTAAATCCTGTAAAAAGACTCAGGCTTTTTTGTTTAGGACCTAGAATGTTACACAAAGTTTGGCATGCTTTCATTTTCATCTGTGTATAAATGTGTATGGTCTAGAGAAGGAAAATCTGGGATTCTCACACATCACTTTCCATAAAATGATTCATCTTACGTCAGAAAATTTTAAACCTTACTGACACATGAAAATGTCAGTGAAAGTACAGGGAGTAGAAAGATGTATATGTTCTTTTTGATACAACACTTAAACATTATACAGTACATTGGTGACTTTTTTTAAGTAAACAAGATGTAAGATAGAATTATACCATCAATGAAATGAGACATACAGAAGTTTTGCTTCTAGATATAGAGGTTGTGCTTTTTTGATTAAAAAAAATCTTATGAACATTATGATTAAAAAATAATAACTTTTCTCAGTAACCTCTAATAGAGCTTAAAATGTTATCAGAGAAGACATTTTTGTTATCTTGCTACATCTTCTCTTTACTTTTTCTCTTCAAAAAGCAAAGCAAAAAATTTATAATCAAAAGGTGATTTTGCAGACAGGTTAACCTCAAACCAATTCACAAAATAGAAGATATTTTGAAAAAAACTCATGTGAGGACAGGCTATAACTGTTTTTTGTGGCGACCAGTTACTTGAGTCTCTCTTGATGTTTGTAATTTCAACAATGCATATTTGGAAAATGAATGTCTGTCTTCATAGTTGTATGGATAAGATTTTGGAGTAAAATATTTGTGCATCTTTGAGAGAATCAGAGATAGATGATTAAACAGTTTAACAGTAAAAAAAAAAATACAATTTGGCTTCTTCAACTAGAAGGAAGGAAGAAAGGGAGAGAGAGAAAGATATTTGGAGGGAGAGAAGGAAGGAAGGAGGACAGGAGCTAGGTGGCCATAGGAGCTTGGTGACTGAGTGAACTATGTCATACAGCTCATGCAGTCTCTAATTCCAGAGCACAGGGGAAAGACTGGTACTCCCTGATAGGGTATAGAAAACAGTAAGGGACTCCAGTGGTGACAGCAGAACTGCGAATCTCACAGAATTTATTCTTTGACGTTTAAAAACTCTAGGAGTATGTGGCTGGCCTGCCCCACAAAAGGTTTTACATTTCTTTCTATGAGGCCCTGTACTGGCCACTTCCTTTCTCTCTCCCTCTATCTCCCTCTATCTCCCTCTCTCTCCCTCTCTCTCACTCCCCTCTTGCCCTTTGCGTTTCCCTGGGGATGGCCAGGGCTAGAAGGTGCCTGGTGTGCAGGCCTGCATCCAGTGCAGTGCCCCCTCACTGGCTGAGTTTGGGGAAGCCAGGGAGGAGTGTGTGCGCTTGCTCAATGTGTTGGAATGTATGGTTCTGTGGCATACACTTACTGGGAAAGTGCAGCAGACAGACACACAGACACACATACTCACTCATCAGTGGTTGGTGAGGGAGGTCAAACGTTGCTGGCTTTTGTGAGGAGTTGAAAATTTGGGAAGGAATTTCCCAGTGTTGAAAATTTAGGCTACTTTTCTTCCCCCTTAAAGTGTAATTGTATTTATTCTTTGTAAAGGGAAAACATCGTTTTATTTTCCCCCCAAATACCATTGAAGGATAGACAAAAATTTTGTGGATGCATAAATAATCTGGCCTTTCTGCTGGATCTTGCTGTACTTTTTCTCCCTTCCTTTTCATACTAATAGTGATATCCTCAAATAATAGACACTAAATTTGTAAAATAAGCTTTTGAAAACTGAGTTGTGTCACTACTAAGGATGATCTTTAGAAACAAGAATCATTAGAAGCCAAGTTTTAAGCTCAGATATTTTACTTTTTAATTTTTTAAAAAAGATTTTATTTATTTATTCCTGAGAGACAGACAGAAGCAGACATAGGCAGAGGAAGAAGCAGGCTCCCTGCCGGAAACCCAATGTGGGACTCCATCCCAGGACCCCGGGATGAGCCAAAGGCAGACGCCAACCACCAACCCACCAGGTACCCCTAAGCTCAGATATTTTAAAATGTTGGATTTAGCCTTCCTTTCAAGGAATAAAGAATAAAATACTAGTCGATGAATACTTTTAATTTTTTTTTGCCCCTTAATATTTAAAAAAATTTTACATTCATTTTTTTTTATTTACAAAAGATTTGAGATGAAAAAGGTGCTGGCTATTTAGTTTTAAATAAAGAAGACAGGGATTTAGTTTTATGAAGTAGGCAAGTGAAGCTGACATTTTGTTTTAAGGGTTATTAAAGACTGGGAACAACAGGTGGTTGGTTCTAATGTAATTCTTTATACATCTTAGGAGATTTGGCAGCGAAGAGTTAGCTCTTTGGTTCATTGATTTATGTATTAATGGTTTGCTGTACATGTCTATTTTAATGATTTTATTTTAATGATTTCAAAATAATAATTTTTTCAGTAATATTGAAAATTTGTGGCTTTAGTTTATGATTATGAGCAAGGTGTTAATACTGGACTTAGAAATTTTCAGGCCTGTGACACCTGGATGGCTCAGTTAAGTTTCCAACTCTTGTTTTGGCTTGGGTCATGATCTCAGGGTTGTGAGACAGAGCCCCACATCAGGCTCCACACTCAGTAGGGAGTCAAGCCTGCTTGAGATATTCTCCCTCTCTTTCTGCCTCTCCTCTTGCTCATGTGTGCGTGCTCTCTCTCTCTCTGTCTCTCTTAAATAAATAAATAAATCTTTAAAAAAAAAAATCCCCAAGCCAAAGTCCTCTTTTATTCCCCATGGCGGTACTTTTAATACTATGTTCCACGAAAGCTTAGAATTCTGAGGAGATGCCAGATTTATGGGAAGTAAGAAGTGGATATATGTACATGGGAGATCCTGGCTTCTTAACTACATTTCAATCAGAAAACAGCTGTATTTGCCGCAGTTTTATGTATTGGAGTTCGGTCTAGAATTTGGTTCAGAAAAGGGGTTTGCTGCTTTAGAAAAAGGTTTGAAAGTTACCTGACCAATGGTATATAATTCTGGACCTTGAGTCCATTCCTTGTTCAGGCATTCCAGCAGATCCCCAAAGCTCTTTCTCGAGGAAAGTTTGCTACTTCTAAATCCACTTCCTGTAGAATGGCCTGTCACTTTTGCTCTAGTAACAAATGTTTGCTTTGCCATCTGCATGCCAGACTACTAAATCTATGGATTTTTCTATAATCAATAGCACTGAAGGTTTGCCCTTCGGGAACTTTTCTAGGGAGCTCCTTAGCCAATGATTGCACTCCAGTTCTTAGCAGAGCCATTAGAATCAACTAACTTTGAAGAATGATGAGTCTGGTGACAGGGGACCTGCTCATTCTTCAACAGTAAGTTTTGCTTCAGGAGGTCCAAGCAGGTTGGACTGCTTGCCCTTTCTTCAAGCAGAGCATCCCTACTTTTTTTTTTTTTTTAAAGATTTATTTATTTATTCATTCACAGAGAGCGAGAGAGAGGCAGAGACACAGGCAGGGGGAGAAGCAGGCTTCATGCAGGAAGCCCGATGTGGGACTCATCCCGGGTCTCCAGGATCACACCCCGGGCTGCAGGCGGCGCCAAACCGCTGTGCCACCGGGGCTACTCCTTTTTTTTTTTTTTTTTTTTAAGATTTATTATCATCCCTACTTTTATCTGTCACATATGATGGGTTTCCATAAATACAGGGGTGATCTTCAGAATATTTTGAACTGGTTAGTGGATGCCTCACAAGTCAGAAGGGACATAAACCATGATCCTCTAATATACACTTGCACAGTATCAATCCTGCATGCATGAGTCTTCTTCCAAAACAGGATATTATTTCAAATAGTATATGTTATTCTCTCAGTGATTTCTTAACCTGTGGTCAAGGACTCTTGGGGGCCGTACTTAAAGTCCTAGGACTTTGCCTTCTGTGTTATTTAAAGAGCCTCCTGGGTGGTTTTCATTACGAGAGAGAGACAGACAGAGACACTCTCCTCTGAGCTCCCATTGCTCCAGCTTCCTGAAGACTGGTCTTTGACGATTGCTAATTTCATATCATACATCCAAGTTTTGTAAGTGACTGTTACAAGAAACCATCATATATTTACAGGGATCCACACTCAAATACCTGCAGATGATATAAGTGGTAGCAACGTGTGAGGTTTCTTCTGTGAAGTACAGGAGGGGTAGCTCTTAAGTCAGCTTCAGCCACCTGTTACCATGTGGAAATGTAAGGCCACTATTCTCAAATCTGATTTTTCAAAAGAAGCTGGAATTCTTATGTTAAATATCAGCAACAATTCAGAAATTCTTGTAGAGACTGTGAGTGTCAAAGAAGATAGCTTGTAGGTTGAATCTGGCCTGTGGGTTGCTAGTTTGCCATCTCTGCCTCATGAAAATCTGCAGCTTCTATAAAATATTGCTGAAGATTCTCTCCATTATGGTTACCATCTCCTACCCTTAAGGTTGGTCTATGAGTGAGAGGGAAGTCCTTCTCTCTTTTTTTTTTTTAAGATTTTATTTATCCACGAGAGAGAGAGAGAGAGAGAGAGAGAGAGAGAGAGAGAGAGGCAGAGACACAGGCAGAGGGAGAAGCAGGCTCCATGCAGGGAGCCCAAGGTGGGACTCGATCCCAGGTCTCCAGGATCACGCCCTGGGCTGAAGGCAGCGCTAAACCGCTGCGCCACCGGGGCTGCCCTCCTTCTCTTGATAAACTAGATAAACTAGTATGCCTCTTATTTAATGATGATGATAGCTATTTGGAAACTTAAAATTAAAATTATGTCTCAGTTGCAGCAGCCGTCACTTAGTCCAGTTAGTTTTCTGGAATAATTACTTTCTCTACTATAAAGTACCTTATACTTTTAATTTTATCTAACTATTATGTGTATGTTATATAAAAACCATCTGAAATCCTTTTGTAAATTTAGAATGTACACATGCTGGATATGTGACAGTCTTATAATTTTATGTATATGCTATTTCATGATACATGTTCATGAGAAAAACAAGCTCCTATTTTCATATAATTGGATGAACATACTTCCTCATCAGTCTCAGTTTTACCCTCTTCAATTAAATACTGGGCCAGCTATAGATGATGTTTTAAACTGTTTTCTAAGAAAATAGGATTCTCCTATATCTAGCAAACTTTTTTTTTTATTAAAGATTTTATTTATTCATGAGAGACAATAGAGAGAGAGAAAGGCAGAGACACAGGCAGAGGGAGAAGCAGGCTCCACGCAGGGAACCCAATGTGGGACTTGAGCCCAGGACTCTATGATCACACCCTGGACCAAAGGCAGGCACCAAACCATTGAGCCACCCAGGGATCCCGCAAACATTTTTTTAAAATGAGAACCTGAGTTTTGCCCATAAATCAACATCCCATAAGGCAGGTAGTTTTAAAAAGTATAGCGTGTACTCAGCAGGAAAAAAATCAGTGGTGAAAAGTAGTGCCTTTAAATATTTTGAAAAGTGTTTTGGTTATTGTTGCACTTTCTTGTATTTAAGTTGAAGAAATTGAAAGCCATATGGATTCTGCTCCTGGGCCCCGGGTGCAGTAAATACTCATTAAGGCCAAACTAAATGAAAACTGTCAGTTACCTAAGGGACTTTTACCAAAAAAAAAAAAAACAAAAAAACCGAAAAACAAAGATACTAGCAGGATGGTTGGATTACATTTGAAAAAATATCTTTTTATTCTAAAACTTATGTAAAATAACTCATTAGGATGCTGATGGTGAGGTTAAAGTGCATGTCTTGGAGAACGTAAATTAGGTATCTATGGTAAGACATAATGAGTGACATATAGGAGTCTGGGAATTCAGGATTTCATTTGGTTTCCCACATTTGTGAAACATCTCATGGTCATCAGTTCCATAAAAATAGCTAGCTCTATTTTTTGGACTGATCTTTTGAACTTTATAATTTTGAAGTTCCACGAGATCTTGTTCTTGTCTTGTTGTTTCCACTGCTTCACATTGAATGCCTTGAAAAGTGAGATTAGCTGCTCATTAAAATTTTTCAATTTTTAAAATTAAAGCCATAATAAAGTATCCTTAATAATTTGTTTTTGTCTGTTTTCTTCTTCTTTATTTCCAAACTGAGGGTGGGTAGAAATAGCAGTTCAAGGATTTTACTCTTTTGTGAATGGGTTTTCAGTCTTTGTACTGAATCTTTGGCATGAGTAGAATGAAACCTTCACGGACATTTTAGGTACAAAGGCCCTTTAAAACATGAGGTGAGCTGCAAAGAGCAGTTGCACAGGGCTTCCAAATGAGTATTAGAAAGCAAAGCTTTAGATTTGGTGGAAGCAGAATAGGTTTTGCAAATCAGTCTTTCTTTCTTTCTTTTTTTTTTTTTTAAGAAGGATGGGTTAATCGTAGTATTATCAGATTCAGTGTTATTATTCGAAAATGTGAATTCCTGTATAGATATCTCTTTCTCCAACTCAAGTTACATTAAGAGTCTGTCAGGAATCATGGAAGAAAAACGTGTGTATATGTGTGTGTGTCAGTATAAATATATATTTATATGTATATTTATACATATCCCCCCAAAAGCAGCTATCCTCTTATTGGGAGATAGGTAGATACAAGAAGCAAGTTAAGGTGTGTTTTTATGTAGTAAATAAAAGATGATCAGTTTAAGCAGACAGCATCTGAAATTGTTGTGAAAAAATAGACGAATGCAAAAATGACAGAATTTACCAATGGATGAGATAATTCATACCCAAGGAAATGACTGATTTTAAAATAAATGTTAATTGCCAAAAAGATGCTGTCAAATCCTCTGTATTAGTAATCTGTTGCTGCATGCAAATTACTCCAAAACTGGGGTGCCTTGCTGACTCAGTCGGCTAAGTGTCTGACTCTTGATCTCTGCTCAGATCTTGATCTGAGTGTTGTGAGTTTAGGCCCTGCATTGGGGTCCACACTGGGCATGGAGCCTACTTAAAAAAAATAAAACAATTTGCCCCAAAACTTAGCAGTTTAAAGCAGTGAACATTTATTTTCTCTCACATTTTCTGAG